AAGTTGTGTTTAAAAAAAGTAAATAAAGCAAACTACAAGTACTATATATACGCAAATGCACACCTAACAACTAACCTGCAAAACTCGTTTTGACTACACTGCTCTTAAAACTGTCACTTCTTTCTTTTGAATGGGTGCCTGCTGATAGTGTTAAAGTGAAAAAAGTTCTATTGTTTTTGATCCGGCAGCTCTTAACTTTCAATTGGAAAAGGAAGCGGAAACATTAATTGGCAAGTCTGTCGCAAGTTTCTTTTAATCGCGTATCGTGTAGACGGAAAAATTAAAAAAAAAAAATTAATTAAAAGTGGTTTGTGTGTTATTTATGTTAAAAATATAATATATTTGGAATATGTGAAGTGCGTGATCGTTTTCAGCCGGTTAAGTAAGATAAAATGAGTGTGTTTAATAAATTAAAGTGATTCAGCTAAATCAGTGTTCACGGGCGTGCATCTTCAAAATGGTGGCGCATAGCTGTATTTGTAATTGATGGCTTTAGGCGCAATAACGCCAAGAAATTTGTTGCTAATACTCATTGCAAGTAATTTCGTACAAGAAAAACGTAAGTGACACTGCATGCATGCATAAATATAAAGTATTTTAATTGGAAAACGTATATGTTAGAAATAATAATAATAAGGGAGCATACAAATGTATAAGTAACAAGCTAACCGAAAAGCTACCAGAAACATTTTTAAAAATATAATATACATATGTATATGTATTAATACAAAGAATTACACTCGAACTTTACAATAACTACGTATAAATAATAATTTCCATTATCCATCTTAATCGATTCTTTTATTAGGTGCAACGAAAGACCAAAGATAAATGTATTGTATATGCATATTCTTATACCAAAATATCTGTTTTTCTTTCTTCTTAATATTAATTCATATGACCTGTTGGAAATATAGATTAAGTAACTAATTTGAGCATAATTTGAAGATATCAATAATTCATTTTTCATAATGTAAATGAATAATGCTTACGCTGAAGTAGACAGGAAAATATATGAAAAAATTGCAGTAACTTTTTCAAAAATATTTACAACCTCAACTAACTTAAATACGAAAAGGAATAATAGTAATAAAAATTCAAGTTTGAATGTGTCCAAGCTGACTTCACACAGCTGAACAGATCAGTATATCTTGATAAAATTAAAATACGCAGATCGTACGTATGGTTTTCCTTAAATTAATGCAAAATTATTGAACTTATACCTTGATTAGAAACGTAAACGAAATGGTTATTATCACAATTCCAAAGTTAAACGCATTTGAAGATGCTGTTTACATTATGCAAGTATGATATTTTGATGTTTGGATCCAATTAGATTTTTTCAAAGAAATTAAATATAGCATAAGTATTGTAATTAAATACAAACTACATATTTCAACACATTCTTCTACGAAATCTATGTTTAAATAATATGTCAAACATGAAAAATAAAGTTGATATATAAAGAGAATTAAATGCACGCAAATCGCCCAAGGCTGTACTCAAAAAGAAAGAGATGAAAAAAAACGAATTAATAAAAATGAGAACTTACAGTTTATCCTCGAAAAAGCGAAGCATATTATTTTTCTTCCATACCCACTTACTATATACATATATATGTAAGTATAATGTATATATTTTAATAACTTTTACCTATATCAGCTAACCATCAAATTATTTGAGGTTGTTTTAAAAAAGTGATGCGCTATTCAGATACGCATTCAATTGTTTATATTTCTCAAGTAATATCGAATGAATTTAGTTTACCCCTTGGGTGTCATAATTGTCGTTGTTTGGGTGAAGGTGCAAGGCTATAAACATACTACATTCGTTTCTGTTGGTTCTATGTATAAGCCAGAAGTAAACACGCTTATAAAATAACTTGATTTTACGTTCAATACAATTTTATTTCACTTTTTAAGAAACGCATAATTCCAGCCGTAAATTAAGCAATTAATTCCCCCACAACAAGCTTTGTCGTCCACTTCCCACCAGCACAGCAATGCTGCAGCTTTGTCACTGACAACATTACGAATTGATTTGTATCGCTATGTTTTGGCTTTAAAGTGCGGTTGAACTCCTCTACTTCTTCTTGGGTTTGACAACATTGTAGGCAATGATGAGACCGATCACAGCATAAGTAGCCTTAGCCACCTGCAATTGGAAAAAATTGTTTATATAATTCCATCATACAGTTCTCATCATGCTAGCATATACTGACATTTGCGCGACCACGCATTGTGGAGCCATTGAAATGTTTCGACAGTCCAGACAATTTAGCATCCTCAGCATGTGAATCTCCAGCCATTTTGCTGAAAGCATATAAATTTTACTTAATTTGTATTATTAACACTTTTTAGTTACACTCACTTGCTTTAAGTTTAGCCTGTTTAGCGGATGGAAAAATATTCGCTGATACTTGCAGACAACTGTCAAAATTTCGAGGTTAGGTTATGTAAGTGCAATTTCGAGTTCGAAAATTGGCTGTCAAATTGACAGTAGTGAACTGCATTGCCGTCGTACAGGGTGATAAAGCAGTGCAAAAGTTATTTGAGTGCTGTTTTCGCACATATTTTTATTTCCGGCAAAAGTTGGAGTTATATTTATATACAGAAGTACATAATTGTATACATAAAAGTGGTTGATTTTGATTTTTTTGTTGTTTTACAGCAGAAATCTTTTCCGATTAATTTTAGGAAATGCTGCTGAGTAGGTATTAACATATGTGTGTATATATAAATTTTGATCTGTTCTGATAAATGTCCTTGGAATGAGTTAAAAAACGTATATATTTCTTGGCTTTCCGTTAAATAAAAGGAAGTTGAAAAGGATTATATATCTATTAAATATCATGCTAACGGTAAAGAGAGTTTTTAAAATGCTCACCCTTAAAGGCAACATAAACAAACCCGTTGATAAAATTTGATTCCTTTCAAAATTTTATATTGTTATAAAAGAAACAAATTTTCAATTTATTTGCGTTTATAGATCTTTTATTCCACATCTTGTTTATTCATTTTCTAAGTGTACTATGTGTAATTAAATTTTCATATACAATAGATAATTTACTTATTTCGAAGATTCATTGTTTATTTGATTCGTGCGTTTTCTATTCAGAATTTAATATTTATTTCATTTTGATTTTGTCTTAATATGTATCTAGTGTTTAAAGCTACAAGATTATGAAGTACTGGAGTATAATGTGCAGAATAAATGAGTGTGTGTATATAGATTTTTATGATTTTTTTTACTATATTTACAATGCTTAAGGCGTAGCAGTAAAGTAAGATAGAAATTATAATTTTGAGTTTATGGTATTTTGTTATAGATTCTATTTCATTTAAATTTGTGTAAATATTTTAAGATTTTCAGTTTGAAGTTATTATAATTTTCCTTTTCATTTAGTCTTCTTTTTAACAATTATTTCAGTTATTTATTGCATTATCAATTTTTTCGTTTTTTATTGATGGCAAGTTTTAAATTTATTTTCTTTTTAGCACATAGTTTCTTATATTGCATCATGCAATATTTTTGTATTATTATTAAGTATATTTATGCATAATTATTATA